CTTCTTCTTCTTCTTCTTCTTCTTCTTCTTCTTCTTCTTCTTCTTCTTCTTCTTCTTCTTCTTCTTCTTCCCCTTCTTCTTCTCCTCTTCCTCCTCCTCCTCCTCCTCCTCCTTCTCCTTCTTCTTCCCCTCCTCCTCCTCCTCCTCCTCCTCCTTCTTCTTCTTTCCATTTCTTTGACTCCTATTGTTTTAACTTTCTTTGTCTTAGACACCACTATTGTCTCCCTATTAGAAGTGTGAAATAATGGGTTCTGTGCTTTGTTCTAATTAACTGTTAAGAAAAAGTAAATGTTTTAGGAAGTTTGAGTTTAAGCTGTAATTTATTATACAACTGGTTACATTTTTTGTCTGATGCTTTGTTTGTTTGTTTGTTTGTTTGTTTGTTTTCAAGACAGGGTTTCTCTGTGTATCTTTGACTATCCTGGAACTTACTATGTAGACCAAGCTGGCCTCAAACTCAGAGATCCATCTGCCTCTGACTTCAGAGTCCTGGGATTAAAGGCAAGCACCACCATGCCTGTCTTCAACTGGATACATTTTGTAGAATAAAAAAAAACCCTTTTATTTCTTATTTGAAATTTTCATCTATTGATTAATAAATTGATACAGTATTGATGGGCCTATTAAAAAACTCTACTCAAATCTACTTTAAAATTTTTAAATCGAATTTTAATAATACTGGCTTTCCAAAAATTTAAGTATAGAAATGCATATTAAATGTCTTTTAAAATATTTCCTTTGTTATTATCAAAATATTTGAAGATAATACATCAAATAATTTTTTGAATATCCATTCACATGCTAAATTGATTTCGTGGCCATAAGTGTTATGACCTTATTATTTTTAATTATTTCAAAAAACTGTCTGCAACTTTAAAAGATAAATTCTGTAGCTAATCAATTTAAAATGTCAGCACCTTTAAATGAGTCTTCTCTTTTGACTCAGTAAATACTGTCTCCATGCTCATAGCCAGTCTTGTTAAATGGAAGAAAAGGTCAGCTGTCCATCATTGTAGTGAAGTACGTGAGCATTTTAACCCAAATATTTTCATGGTCATGATTTACTTCATTGGTTTTTTTTCTCCCTATTTTTGAATTTCTCATTAATTTTAGATGTTAGCATATAAATCTTGGACTTTCTCAATATCATTTTATTCTGCACAGAAATTTTTTAATCAAAGGTACCAATAGTCTGTATAGAAACCAAAATAATCCAAGGCATGATTATCAAATTTAAAAACTGAGTCTTATTTTGAACTATCATTATGTAGCATGTTCAATTAGCCCTTTGCTGCCACATGAGTAAACTTTAATGTTTCCTTGTTTGGAAGTTTAGTTTTCAATAAGTATTGTTGACAAAGTCTTCACACAGTATCTTTCTGACATTACCTATTTTGCATACTTTAAGAAAAGATTTTCAATTATTTTGCGCAAAATGCAACCTGAAGTTAAAGGGCTAATTAGAAAAGAAAAGTCTGGGATCATTGAATTACACAAGAGTTGTTGATGTGCAGAAGCGTTCCTTAAGGTTTCAGGCCTTCTGAAAATTCTGTTTAATGAATGATATTGATGCTGAAGTATGTAATGTCTTGTATGTATGTGATTAATGTGATATATGTATGTACTGTATCTGCTTAAGCACATTTCCTCTGTGGCTTCCCTATTTACGGAGGGAATTAGCTTCACTCTGGGTTCTGCTCCACCAAATTTGCACTTCTTCTATTACTACAAAAGCAAATCATTTCAACTTTTCACTGAAGTTCTTAACTTGAGTTTACAGTAACATCTATAATAAATGTCAGATTTTTATCTTCATATTGACTTTCTAAGAGCTTCGCTTTGATTCTATGAGAAATTAAACCCAGGGGTTTATTATTGCTTGAATTTTCCTGTTTGAAGACATTCACATAAAACTGGCTTTGTTTAACAGTTCATAGTTCATTCTGTGCTAATGAAGGCAATACTTTAAGACCATTTCTTTGGCAATAAAAAACATTTTAAATAAAAACTCTGGGACTAGAGAGAGCTCAGTGGGTAATGTGCCTGCTCACAAGCCTGAGGACCAGGGTTCACATCCCAGCTACCCACATAAAAGCTGGGTGTGGCAGTACCTACTTGTGACCATAGTACTGGGAACAGGGAACAGGCAGAAACAGGTAAGTCCCAGGAGAGCCTAACCAGACAGTTTAGCTAATTGGTGCACTCTAGGTTCAGGAAAGACCCCGCCTCAAAAGATAAGGTGAAAGACAACCAGTGTTGGTTATGAGCACACACATGTTCATATGGATATACATGCTTGTGCACATATGCACAGGTATACCACACACACACATACACACACACACACACACACACACCCCACAGTGGGATAGTGTACGACCACATGAGGTCTGAGGAATCTGGAATAGGAGGACGATAAACTTCAGGCCAATCTGAGACATATAGTGAGACTTTGTCTCAAAAGATATGCAAAAAAAACAAAAAATAAATAAAAGGAAATCCATTTATTTCTTATTTTCTGGGAGCAAGCTCTCATAGTCTCACTCTGGCTGGCCTTGGATGCACAGAGATCCTCCTACCCTTGACTGCTGAGTACTAGGCCTAAAGGTGTGTGCCACCGCACACCCAGCTCCACCTGATTCCAATGAAGGCGTGCGTCCAGGAGGATATATAAGCGGACCTTCTGTAGGAGTTAAAACCATTGTCTGGACACAGCCCCCACTCACAGACTTTTCATAAGGTCAGATGTTCTTCTCATTTACATCTGCTGTTTTCACACGGTCCGTAACATCACTGTTGCAGCCATGTGGGATGACATCAACCAGATCATGTCATTCTCATCAACTGAAGAAAATGCACTTATTTTACACTGATCACGCCTCCTAGCTGTTACCTCTTTACAGTTAAAAGGGTTTATTAGCAAATAAAGATCTGATACCAAATAACACCTAGTGATCTGTTTAGAGCATATAGTAAAGTGGCTGTTCAGAGTGCATACACATCAGCAGGACCGCTCAGCATCTATTTCCTACATAGGCAACATGAACACAGAACTGGACCTATAGTTGCCTGGACTCCAGGCCCTAAACACTAACCCCTCTGAGTTACAACCTGGCAGCTTCTCACATCAAACAGACACAGTCAGAAACTTCTCAGTGCTGGCTGGAGTGTTAGGCAGCTGGTGGGGGGGTCACAGGAATCCCTTACATTGAGTTTTGACTAAATGGTCTCTGCTCATCTTTCTGACACAATCACAAGTTCAGGAGGTCACCCCATTCACCACACACGTACATCTCATCAACTTGCAGGCAAATCCATGACTGGAGGCTGAAAGAATAAAGTCACATGCATATAGACTGCCTGGAATAAATTCTAAATCGCATGGGCTCGTGCACACCAGCCATCAACTGGGGCTGTCCTGTGCTGACTAGCATATCTAGTCTCTGCACCTAACTTCAATCACTAGTCTTTCAACGGATGGGACAACATTTTGTTGTTTTGCCTCACCACAGTATCTTCAGGTCTGTAATATAGAGTCTTTGGCTTTCTCTTATCTCTTGTTGACCTCTGTTCCTGACTCAAAGACTTATCACGTTATTCTCTGCATAGCTGTCTATAAGTTACTTCAAGGATCTTATGCAGTTTTTTTTATTATCCTTGAACTTTGATACATAGCAAACAGTCAAAAATGTTATTAGATGGATGGATGGATGGATGGTTGGATGCATGGATGGATGAAGGATGGATGGATGGATGGATGGATGGTGGCAAATAGATGGATGAAAGAAAACAAATGACCCAAATTTTCTTGGAAAATAAGAAAGCAGATGTCGCAGACCAGACCATGCTTGTGACACCATCCAGACACGTGGGAAGTGATGGGATTAGGTTATAGAGAGGCCTTGAAACCAACATTTCTTCGGTTTTTTTTTAAAGATTGATTTATTTTATATACACTGTCACTCTCTTCAGACACACCGGAAGAGGGCATCGAAATCTGCATTTCTAACAAAGCTGCATCTGGCACCAGCTATCCCTGGCATACACTGTCTTGGGTCATGGGTATAAGACAAACTAGAAAATAGCTGGGGACTGTACACATACGGAGCCCCGAACACCTATTTCTGTTAACTAGAGTCAACGACTGCTGTCTTGGAAAAGGCCAAAATAGGTGGGTTCCAAGATGTTTGCAGAGGAGGATTCTCTAGCTCAGGACTCTTGCCAGGGGAAATGGGTGTGGCTGAAGACATACTCCAGCAGATGAGTGTACTCCACCACACTTAATGTGGCCTTTACAAACACCTCTAAAAAAATCATAAAATGAGCTTATAAAAATTGTAAGCTCATGTCTGGGGGTTTCTGTGTGAATCAAACAGTCCCAGTTGAGAAAGAGTTGTGTTTTAGTTTTGAGCTTTTGTTTGTTGTTGTTCTCTTTGAGACAAGGTATCAACCATGTAGTCTTGGCTGATTGAGAACTCACTGAGTCACCTGTCTCTACCTCCTAAGAATTAGGATTAAAAGCATGTGATGCCACAGCAATCCAAGAGGCTTCTTATTTATCTTTTGACTCTCCTGCGGTAGAGGAACTAGCCTTGTAGTAGCAAAACAGTTCCTCTCACAATTAGCCATTGTTGGTTAGCTATCTGAAATTCAGCATGGAGTCTATCCACTCTGGCAGATCAAATAAGCCTCTTTGGTCCCTTCATCCAGCATTAACTGAATACCTGTTGTGTCCCAGGCACTGAGGTAGTAAATGCTAGTGGACGTTTGAGGGTGGTTCTTTCTCAAGAGTACTTTGTAGAGTGGGGACAACCATGCTCTCTGTAGGAAATAGATCTGTAAGAGTTGGGGCAAAGTCAACAGATGTGTCTAGATGTATCTCCCAGCTTCCAGTACTAGGCCTGTGATTCCTATGCTGGCCACTTCTTTCTTCCCTCCCTCCCTCTCTCCCTCCCTCCCTCTTTCCCTCCCTTCTTTCTTCCTTTCCTTCTACATTTATTTATCAAGGGGTGAATATGAGTGTGTACACGGGGCAGGGAATGAGTGTGCTGCATGCATCTGGAAGAAGTCAGAAGCTGGTTCTCTTCTCCCACTATGTGGGTTTCAGGGATTGAATTCAGGTCTGCAGTCGTGACAGCACTCACACTGACCACTGAGATATCCTACAGGCCCTGATATCATCTCTCATTAGCCCTACAGAATTATCTTATACTCTTTTTTAGAATGTTTAAAACCAATATAATTAATGTAAACCTGTATGCACACTCGTTTTTTAAAGTCAAATTTCTATTTCTCTTTCATTGGGAATGCAGTTCTTTCTCATCAGGAAAACTGAAGGGCGAGCTGACTCTTCTCTTGTTATATTCCTCATTCCCCGCTCGCCACAGGAAGCACAAAGCCTCTGCACTGGGCCAAACCTATCTACGAACTGGATCTAGATGACCCAGGAAACAATGGCTTCATCAATGAGGACTTCATTGTATGGATGCGGACGGCTGCCTTTCCCACTTTCAAAAAACTGTACCGCCGACTCAACCGCGTGGACTCCTTCGCTGAAGGCTTACCTGCTGGTAACTACAGTTTGAGCGTCTCCTACAGTATCCTCCTGTACCACATCTCTTCCTCTGAGTGAAGGCCAAACCTGGCTACTTGTAGAATTCTTTTATTCTGAGTGTGTCCTCCAGGCAGCTATGTGGAGCACCGAGAAACAGAGAGCTTATCTTGTAGGAATGCCCACGGGAGGAAAGAACTGCCCCTTCTATCCAGGGGGCCTGGCGGGCTCTCGACCTTGGATCTGAGAGGTCAGGGGAAAATGGGCAAATTTTGATTACATTATTGTATTTTTGAGCCCTCCCAAGAAAAAGAGACCCAAAGAAGTGATGACTGAGTGGATTTACACACTGGTTTTAAAAGGAGTTATCAATTATGGAAAAACACCTGAGGCAAATTTGTTTGTGCAGATATCTGATGACAACACTAGTTATTCCTTCCTTTTGTTCATTTCTTCCTTCTGTCCTTCCTTCCCTTTCTTTTTTTCTCTCTTTCTTATTTTTATGACATGGTCTCACTATGTAGCCCTGGCTATCCTAGAAATCCCTCTGTAGACCATAAGTTCACAAAGATCCACTTACCTCTTTCTTCCAAGTGCTGAGATGAAAGATGTTTATCCCCACACTTGACTGAAAGTATGTCTTCACGTGCCTGAGGGCATCTATCACCTCCCTCTATGGTTTCAGGAGAGAATGGAAGGTCAGCGTGCCCTCCTTGCCCTTAATGACTTTCAAGTACCTTCAGCCAAAACAGTGTGCAGAAGTGGCACATTCAGGGGTCCTCTGCTTATTTCCACTAACAATTATCATCACATAACTATGTCCGAATTATAGTCTTAATATGTCTTTTAAAAAAAAACAAGAAAGAAAGAAAGAAAGAAAGAAAGAAAGAAAGAAAGAAAGAAAGAAACCAACAGCCAGTAACACTACCAGGTATGGATAAATAGAGGAGTATTTTGTCCCTAAGAAAGACCAATAAATGGTAGAGCCTAGACATCTAAAGCATTGGGGTGGGGCACTGCCATAGAGAGTGGGGTGAGATGGAGGAGTCACGAAAGTAAAGGGGAGAGGAAAATAAGAGTGCATTTGGAGGGTAAACTGGAATGGTAGAAACTGACAGACTATAGAACTTTTAGATAGAAGTGTGTTAGAGCAAAGGAAGCCCATCTTCCCAGATAACCACCCCAGGAAGAGTGAGGCTTCTGTCCTTGGCCAAACCTCCCTATGAACTAGACCCAGATGAACCAGCAGACAATGGCTTGCTCAATGAAGACTTCACTGTGTGGATACGGACAGCTTGACTCAGTCCATGCAGGAATGCTGTGAGCTGTGCACTGCACATGTGTATTCTTTCTCTCTTAGGTCCAGAGCCAGCCAGTGGGAGTTGATGTCTTAGTAACAGACATATGGGCCAAGTTAGGAGACATATGTTCCAATAACAGATTGTGATTTTTTCCTACAAATTTAAAAATACAAATGTGACTCTTGATTCAAAACACACACACACACACACAAAGAAGATTTAACTATAAAATGTAAGTAAGTCTTATCTTTAAGAAGTTCTAAACTTACACATAATTTATGCTAACCCTGTTCTTCGGAGCTCCTTTCCCTGAAGCAGGTAGATTTCTTAGGCAGGCTCTCACCCAGCTTTGAAACTGCCACCCAACTAAGCACCCACGCCTCTTATAGTATGCCAGGGATTGTTCGAGAGGACACCCAGCAGGCCAGAGCTGCTCCATATTGAACCGCCCACTTCAGCAGTCTCTCTAGCTACCAGGGAGGTTGAATGAGAAATTTCTTTTTTCCCCCAGGACTGAGAAAATGTTCTTCCCCTGGAGTACTCCACTGAGCTCTATCCCTAGTCCTAGGATAGAAAATGCAATGTGAAATTTCTTCTCTCTCCTAGATTTCTCCTCCTAGATTTCTTCTTTCTCCTAGAGCAGCTGTGTAGAACTCTCTAATGGAAGAGTAGAAGTGCTCCTCTGTGAGGTCCCTGCTGAGTGACATCCCTGTCTTATCAACCTTTGTTTTCTGTTACAGTAGTTGCTTTAAAACAGGCATAGCCTGGTAAGTGTCTCTCACACTGAATCTCCTGATCCCATAGACCATGTGTCTATCCTAACAGTAAAGTATAGGAGAGACTGCAGAGCAAACAACAACACAGACAGAACAACGCTGGGAGTGAGGAAGCTATGTCCTAAAAGGGAGACAGTGTTTCTATTCTCCTCTTCGAACACGCTCTCCTCCATGACTTTCCTAACAGCCACATTTGAACACTGATCTCTAGATTGTCCACACGTGGCTTCAATGCTGCATGTCAGCTCTCTGCTTGCACTACCCCTATGTGATGGCTAAAGAAGTAAGCCTGGACTGCAGCACTCCCTCTTACTGAAGGGGAAAAGGATGGTCTGTAGGTGAGGATAGGATTTGCTCTTTCAACTAAACTGAGAGAGAGAGGAACCAGGCAGCAGCTAGGTAAGGCAGCATCCAAGGACCAAGGACCAAGTGATAATGAAGAATTCCAGTGTGTGTGTGTGTGTATGTGTGTGTGTGTGTGTGTGTGTGTGTGTGTGTGAGAGAGAGAGAGAGAGAGAGATAGAGAGAGAGAGAGAGAGAGAGAGAGAGAGAGAGAGAGAGAGAGAGAGAGACTTGTTCCTAACATGTTTCCTTGTGCCTTTAAATAGCTCATTGCTGAGAGACTGGAAGCCCTTTAAGGACTTTGCTGGGAAATGCCTCTGTCCTCTGTGTTGCTATGAGAAGGCTTTGTTTGTTTATTAGTTTCATTTACAAAAGGCACCAGATGTTAAAAAACCCCCAGGCCGCAAGCATCATGAAGATGATATCATTAAAATGCTTCATAGCAAACCCACTTCAAACACTTTCTCACAGGCAACGGGGACACTGACTTTCCAAAGCCCTGACAAGCACACACTTATAGATTTAGAGTTCTCACCAAAAGTGTTTCTCTGTTCATCCTGATGCTTTATTTATTGTTCTTACTCCTCTGAAAGAATTTGCTCTGCTTAAGGGATTCAAGCCTTAGCCAGTTAAGGACCTTGGCCTTTTCTGAGTCTTCTGAGTCATGAATAAAAGCTCAGGTTTGCTGTGAATGCTGTCTATATCCATTGTGCTACCTTGGACTCATCAAAGAAAATTAGATTATCTGTTCACTAGCTAGCTATTGGCAAATCATTCAGATCTATTTGTATCGGCATCTTCTTTCTTCACTGTAGCTATGTTGAGGAGAACCTTGTTTTCACTAACTTTATTCTAGCAAGACAGAGTTTTATTTGACTGTGTAGAAACGCATGAAACAGAATAATCACCTGGATTTTTTTTGTCTATTAAAAGATCAATTTTATATAACTTAATCTAGTGTATTTGCATACATCACAGTACAGATGATAAATACTGAGCCAGGTCCTTAACAGATCTTCTTAGATTTTCCAGTAACCATGTTCAAAGGAAAAAAGTCTGTTGTTCTTTCTACCCTGACATGGATCGGGGGAGGAGGCCTTTTCTTGGGGCTTACTTATACAGTGACGGGGGCATTGACGCTATTGGCCTCTTTTATCATCTTGACGATTCACTTGACAATGAAAAGGAGTAAATTGTGTTTCCAGTAGAGGTGAAGTCCAGATTTAAAGAGAAGAAGAGCAGAAGGCAGCAGCAAACAATGGAATAATAGAACCAAAGATCTCTGGCAAAGCTTGAAACGTCTCTGAGCTATCTCAAGGAGGGGCACTGGATTGAAGGAATCCAATATAGTCCTAAGTCCACAGATAAATGATAAGGTTCCCAGAGTGGGGTGAAGAGGAGGAGCAAAATAAAAAATATGCACAGTAAAATGTTCTTGAAATAAAGATAATAAATGTTTTTTTAACTCTAGACCAAGTGTTAAGAGTTTGAAGTCCTTGTACCTCAGAGGGGGTGAGTTCTCTAGGGGTCTGCCCTTAAGATAAGAGCAAGCAAGTCAAAACTGAGTCCTTTCAGCTATTCAGTCAGGCTCAGTCTCCTGGCTGGATGAAGACTTCCAAAGACCAGCTGTTGAACTGAGCAACAGAACTGAGTCACAATCAGGTTTTTCTGTTTAGATCAAGCAATGCTTAGCCATGTCGAGAGTATCCAAAATAAAATACACCAAAAAAAAAAAAGCAAGCTTCTTCAATGTTTCCCAAGAAACATTGTTTCCCAATAAACATTCGGAGTAAGACTTCTGCCATCATGCATGCTCCCAGGAAGGGCCTGTTCCAGTGGGCACTGCCCTACCGACATAGTGTCCCCATGTGGCTAAAGTGAACGGACTGATTTACAAACTGGCCAGGAAGGCCTGACTGCCTCCCAGATATGTGTGATCCGGAGGAACCCTCATGGTGTGGCACAGGTCCGTTCTGTGACTGGTAATAAAATCTTGAGAATCCTTAAGACCAAAGGCCTTGCCCCTGATCCTCTGATGATCTCTGCCATTTGATTAAGAAAGCAGTTACTGTCCAAAAGCATCTTGAGAAGAACAGAGATGATAAGAATGCTAAGTGGCGCCTGATTCTGATAGCAGAGTTCACCGGTTTGTTGCTACAGGACTAAAGCAGGTGCTCCCTCTCAGTTGGAAATGAGTTGTCCACAGTCTCTGCTTTAGTGGCATAAATTCTCTAGGGTACACAACAAAATAATTTTCAGTTTAAAAAAAAAGCATTAGGAGTAACTTATTCTTAAAACTGTGTTGAGCCTGTTGAAGACACTGCAATCCTGGGACTGATATGATGCTATCTGGAATAACAAATGATGGCTGGCTGCAAACTCGCTGTTAGTCCAGGATGGCCTTGAACTCATAATCCTCCTGCTTTAGCATCCCTTGTGCTAAGATGATAAGCATGTGCTACCACACTAGTTACATTAGTTATTCACTCCCTCACTATGACAGAACACCTGAAAAGAAGCAATTTAGAAAACAGTCCTGATGGTGCACCATCTTTAAATCCAGCAGTCAGGAGGCAGAGTCAAGTGGATCACTGTGAGTTTGAGGCCAACTTGGTCTACATAGTTCTAGGTCAGCCAGACTTAAAAAGAAGGAAAGAAAAAAAAAAAGATGTAGAAGAAGCATCAGCTTTTAAGGGAGAGGGGCTATAGTTTGGTTTATAGTTCCATCATGGCAAGGAAGACATGACTGTAGCAGCAGGAGGCACCTGGCCATATCACTTAGGAATCAGAAATCAGAGGGAAAGATGAATGCTGGTACTCAGCTGGCTTTAGTCTGGGACTCCAGCCCATGGAATGGTGTTTCCTACATTTATTTTGGGTCTTCCACCTCAATTTAAAGTAGATAATCCCTCGCAGCTATTCCCAGAAGTTTGTCTCTTAAGCAAGTCTTAAGTCTCATGATGTTAATTGTTGGTATTAACCATCACACCAGGCTTAACATGGATTTTTACTACTTGAATTCTACCCATAAATATAAAAGATGTGAAAGAATAAACGAGTTATTTTAAGCATAGAACAAGCTGCACCTCATGGCAGCGGTAATAGAGAATCAATACAACAGCGTTTGGCAAGGCTGCAGTCATTCCCATGCTTGCCTGACCTGTCCAGAAGACAGCAAAAGGAAGCACACGGCTTAAGTCACACCCACTAACTTCTGATCTTGTGTTCCTGGTCCTTTGGCTCACAACCCTTCTTTACAGTGCTAATTAGGAAAAGCAAATACAGCTGTGGTATCTCAAACTAATAAGGATACAGGGTATAAAGATGCTGTATCTATCAGTCAAGGATTTAGAGATATAACAGGAAAAAAATTGCCTCTGTGTGTGTGTGTGTGTGTGTGTGTGTGTGTGTGTGTTAGGTTGGTAAATAAACGTTTACTTTTTAAATTTGGCTTGTGTGATTGTTGGGAACTCTACATTATAATGAATGAGTCCTGCTCAAAAAAGGGGTTGCAGTTAAAGTCCAAAAAGTATTCTTCTGGGACTAGTTATTCTAAGGGGCCCTGCTGAGCACCCCATCTTGCTCAAGGCTTCACCCACTATGCAGGACAATCTGCTTTATGAAGCGTTCACTAGCCTTCTGTCAATCTGATGCATAGTCTGGAGTCATCTGAATGGAGGGCACCTCAGTTGAGGAAATGTCTTCATAAGATCCAGCTGTAAGACAGTTTCTTAATTAGTGATCGATGGGGAAGGCCTAACCCATTGTAGGTAGTTCCAACCCTAGGCTGGTGCTCCTGGGTTCTATTAAAAAAAAAAACAAAAAAAAAAAAAACAGGCTGAGCAAGCTGTGGAGAGTAAGTAGACCAGTAAGCAGCCCTCCTCTATGGTCTCTGCATCAACTCCTGGCTCCAGATTCTTACCCTGTTTAAGTTCCTGTCCTGAAATTCTTCAATGATGAATCGCTAACCCTAAGATACTATAGAAACCCTAAGATACAGTTTTATCCATGAGAAACTACTTTGAGAAAAACAAGTGGAAATGTGTATCTTTTTCTTGCTTCTCCAAAGCCAATACCCCAAAACAGTTTGTCCTCATAGGACTCTCACCCTGGGATGGTCTGGAAGTCCTTGTTTACATCAACAGTGGGAAACTCGAATTATCTGACTTCCGTTGTCTCCATTCCACGTTCCCAACCCCTATTCCTACCACATGACTCTCCTCTTTCTGGACGTTTCTAAATTCTTCATGTATGTATCTCACTATGTTGCCCAGGTTTGGTCTATGCTCAAAAAGATCCTCCTGCCTCAGCTTCCTCAGTGTTAGAACCACAGGCGTCTGCCACAGTGTCTAGCTTATCCTTAAATTACTGTGAAGCGTTTAGTGAAAGCTGGGGAACCTGTGCTGCCCTAACCCGTCTCCAATCCTAGCAACAGCGCTGAGAACAGGAGAAGCTCAGAAGAGACCGAGAGAAAAGGAACAAACTGAAAAATGAGAGAGCGTTTACCCGAGGGTGTGTATGTGTGTGTGTTGTGGGGAGGGCGGGGCTGCACAAGAGCACATGAAGATGATCTTGGGACTGTTTGGAAATGAAGATCTTTAAGGTGGTTCTATTTTGTGCGTATTTCACATGCAGGGACAGCGATGTTGGAAATAGAACTGAATGGGATGGAGTTACGAGTGAATGACAATGTAGAATTGGGCTGAGGAAGTGGCGGAGCTGTTGCTGGTGCTTGGGTGACCTGTCCTGGTAGGTCTAAGAAGGTCTGATTGAAATTAAACCCACCGACTTCAGATCCCCGGCCCTTGTCCTTCTAGACCTTATTCCTCCATCATGGAGCTAATTGGGAAAGGCATAACTACAACTGTTAAATCTGAGCTTCATTGGTCTAAATGTAATGATGCTGTACCAGCATGCATGAGGCCTTGGGTTCTCTCAAAGCACTGCATAACCCGCATATGTGGTGGCATATGTATGGCTGCAACCCTCAAGAGGTAAAGGCACAGGGTCCCCAGTCCAAGGTCATTGTCAGCTACACTGTGAATTTAATGCCAGCCTGGGATATATGGTACCCTGTGGTGATTCTTATGATGATGATGTAGAGTTGACCTTTATTCAAACTTAGACCCTTACCTTGTGTGCCAAGCTTACAATGCTGAGTGTATCAAAAAGAGGCAGCAGCTGGGAAGCCTGCTGGGAAGGGTTTATCTTACATTAATCCTTTCCATTCAACTCAACCCATGCCCCTTCCCCCCTCACCTTCAAACTGAGAGCCTCTGTTCCTTTGTTATTGACACACACACACACACACACACACACACACGTATGCACAAATATATAAATACAACCTGCTGTGCCCATTTTTGTGTGTGTACATGTGTCAGGGCTGAGCACTTAGTTTTGGATAACCAATTAGGGGGCTCATCCCCAGGAGAGGCTAATTCACCCTCTCTCCGAAGTCATTAGTGAGATTTTTCTCCACTCCTCATCAGTACTAAATCAACCTCTGTAGCCGTTCACAGATGTTCACATTCACCCCACGGTTGACCATGATCTCCTTCTGTTCTAGATTTTTCTCAGTTCCCTTACGCTATGGACTAAGGGAATATTCCCCCAGAACAACACCAATCTCTCAACTCCTTCCACACAATCCCCGGCCACTTACACTAGAAAACCCACTGACTTGGACTAGCCGTCATTTTCCCAGACAGCATTCCAGCCATCCCTGTGAGAGCAGCCTAAGGAAGGTTGGGGTTCTCATCTGCTGTGTGACTCGGCGCTGGCTTTATTAATGAAATAGTCATAAAAGGAAACAGCTTCAAATCGCTGCTGCTGGTTTTGCTTTGCAATGTGTCCAGCAATCCCACAGCACCGTGGTCTGTGGTTATCAACATTTTTTGGTCTCTGAATATCCATAACTGGTTGTACCACAGGGCAGATCCTTGCTGGCTTCTCCACAGGAAAGCCCTTTTCCAGTCCTCAGAGCCAAGGGAGCTACTCAAAGGTTCAACCCAAAGTCTCTTTCACGAGAATTGGCTCAGAATCCCATTGCTAAGTAGAATTGTCCTTAGAAGACCAAGTATGGTTGAGTATACCTGTAATCCTAGTATTAGGGAGGTTGAGACAGGAGGATGGATAATATGAGACCAGCTTAGACTATGCAGCAAAACCCTGTCTCAAAAATAAATCTTAACTTTCTCTAAAGTCT